GTGCCCACATCTCTTAAGGAGAAGACTCCAGTTCTGCAGGTGCTCTGGTAGGCCTGGCTTGGTTGTCTCATATTTCTTGGTGGGACAGAAGGCATCCTTTTGTTGGATAAAAGAGAAGGTCCTACTGTATTTCATTTGGCTTCTGCCCCTGAATTTGGGGTGGGGTAGAAATATGAGTTCAGTCTTTCCTGTTCTATGCATAGATCATTGTATCCTACTGATTTAATTTCAAAGGAATTTTTTCACAACTTTACCTTTATTTATTTTAGTTCACTCATGGACGATGCTTTTGTTGTTTCATTACCCCAAACAAATTTTGACTTGTGTTGGATTAAAAGATCAAGTAACAACTCGGCGCTGTAATGTACAGCAGGCTATCAAGGGTGGGGGAACAGAGGAAACATGAGCTGGAGATGAGCCTGGGAACGTGTCCTACTCGCTCTCCTTGTGGGACTACAGCAGAACCTTATGTTGACACTATTGTGCGAAGTAAAGTATTAGAGCATGTAGCTGTGTATAAACAAAATGTTTCTTGCCAAATACAGATTATACACGTACCTAAACTACCAACAACCTAAAAAACTACCTAAAAAATAACCATACTTCCAAAATTATAAGGTAGGTTTAGGGGAAAAAATATATCCTTTCAGATGTTAAAATATCCTTTCAGATGTTAAAATAAAGAGTACTTACAACTGTTGAACAGTAAAGGTTGAAGTGTGCAACTGCAGTAGTGTGGCTGAGAAAAATACCTTGCATTTATAGAAAGCCTGGCTTTATTTACAGGTGGTTTGTTTAGCTCTTGCATTGATGCAAAGATCAGTCAACAATCACCATATATTCCATAACCGACTGCTTAGCCTGAGGATTCAGATGTGTCACTGGAGGATGCAGTGTTAGAATTTGAGATTTTCCCTTTGAGGAAATGTTCCCTTTTGCTTTTGTCTAAAGGTGGAATAAAGACAAAACTGGTCTCTACTAGGTGTTTGTACATATCTGTCAAACTTGCCCCAGGAGTAGCTGTTGTAGCCAAAAAATACTGGTGGTAGTAGGTCTAGTAGGCATTAAAGAAACTTGCGGTGGATAGGAAGAGTATGCCTAGAGGACTGTACCTTTAGTTGTTCTTAACAGTATAAAGTGAGATAATATTCCCCAGTTGTTGCCTTGCTGCTTAAAGCAAAATATGCTTTTCTGCAGGGTACTGTACTGCTGCTGCATCTCCAGAGAGCTTATTTGTAAGTGTCCAGAAAACAAGACTGGAAAACTGTATTTCAAGCATTAAGCAGTAGTCGTCTATCAAGATTACCCCTGTGCATCTCTAGCTATAGCCGTATAAAGTGAGATAATATTCCCCAGTTGTTGCCTTGCTGCTTAAAGCAAAATATGCTTTTCTGCAGGGTACTGTACTGCTGCTGCATCTCCAGAGAGCTTATTTGTAAGTGTCCAGAAAACAAGACTGGAAAACTGTATTTCAAGCATTAAGCAGTAGTCGTCTATCAAGATTACCCCTGTGCATCTCTAGCTATAGCCACAGAGCATAGTTTTCTCATTCTCTGCTGCTAGCCATTGTTTTATTGCCAAAGCCTCTCTGAAGATTTTATATCCTGAGAAGTCTCTCCAGAACACTGATGACTTGGGGTTCATATGCAGAGAGCATACAGAGTACAAATGACAATTATGCAGTATGTGCTTTGCACTGTCAGGATGTATTATTTGGGATTTAGCCAAGCTAAGGCTTATGATTGCCATATGTGGACTAGCAACAGATGCACGTAAAGGTGCTTTCCAAGGACAGCAAACAATGGAAGATAAAGCTTCTGTTGTTCTCTCTCAGAATGTGTCAGATCACAGCTACCCTGAGGAGCTGAAACCTGGAAGAGACTGGAGATAGATAAGTGACTTGTGCCAGGTGCCTGGCCAACATGTGGCATGCAGGAGTGCTAAGAGTCTGGCAGAGCTAGAAAATCAAGTAAAGTTGGAAAGGGCATGATCAGAAAAACAACGTAAAACTGATTCAATAAATTTTATTGCCATCAACTTTAATGGGAGTGTGACAAAATGCAAAGTAGTGTGTTTCTTACTAATGCTTCTTTATATTATGACTATAGCTTCTCTAAGAGCATTGTCCACAAATGTGAACTGAATTTTACTTGGATTTCTTGTAATTTGGATTTTACTATTTCAGAGGGAAATAAGTTGATTAAGCATAGTAACTTGCTTTGGGTTTTTTGTTAAATTATTTGAGTTTGCCTGTTTTTAAAGAATGACCAAGTGTCTTGTGAAGAGAGACTTAGATGACTGTTCATCCTTCTTGGATATTTTAAAAAAGTGAATGCAAATAATACAAAGGTAGCAGCTTTCACCAGTAACTGTTTTTTCATTCTACTACAACTACAGTCCATTCCAAAATTGGCTAATGTTTAAAGAAAATAGTAGTGCTGCTTTTAAGGCAGAATTTGTTCTCATGGTAACTAGTAGGCACAGAAGAAAGGACTTTAAAACTCTGTGATGTACTCATCTTATTATTTTTTTCCCTCGAGGCAGAGCTCATGTTTCCTGACTTGTGTATGGCCAAGGCCGTGATTTTTTCCAAAGCTATGTGTGTTATTGGATTATACTGTTTATATTGCTTGTTACTCTTAGCCAGAAAGTTGTTTTGGATTTCTTCTCTATGACAAATGTAATGAAGCAAAAGTAGTGGAAAACTTTTGCACAAGTTGCTGTAAATGTTAAGGACAGGTAATTGTTCATTTCATCTTGGTGTGTACCATCTCATCACTGAGATGTTCCCAGAAAAAGAGATGGGCCAACTGGTCTGCTTTGATAGCAATACTGGCTTTGAGTTGTGTTAGATCGTTCCTTACATCTATTTTTGCCCATGTAATGAAGCAAAAGTAGTGGAAAACTTTTGCACAAGTTGCTGTAAATGTTAAGGACAGGTAATTGTTCATTTCATCTTGGTGTGTACCATCTCATCACTGAGATGTTCCCAGAAAAAGAGATGGGCCAACTGGTCTGCTTTGATAGCAATACTGGCTTTGAGTTGTGTTAGATCGTTCCTTACATCTATTTTTGCCCATGAATGACCAATACTGGCTTTGAGTTGTGTTAGATCATTCCTTACATCTGTTTTTGCCTTTTTAATGAATGACAGCAAGGGTAGTACTATATGTGATGTAGGAGGAAAGTGATGAATGTGATTTTTTTTTTTAATTTTTTTTTTTTTCCATCCATCTCTGTCAGGCAATAGCCTTCTGTAGTAGGAGGGAGAAGAATCCCCTTGGAGAATGTCATTCATGCTGTTGGATTATTGTTTGTACTTTGGGATTGGGTTGCAGTTGGGTTTAGTGTTTTTGGTTTTTTTGGGTTTTTTTTGCTTTTAGCATACTGACCTTTTCTAAGGCTCCTTGATAAATGCATTAGAGAAATTCATATGTATGTTTTAGCCAGTCTGTTGTTGTCTGCAGAATTAAAAAGTTTTGAGTACTGTCTTTGTTTACTACTTGCTCAATGTCAGTTTTACTTAGGAGACTCTGACAGTGGTTGCAGACTACATGAGGTCATGTGTTATAGATATTGGTTATGTGACAATTGATATGGTTTGAGTGGTCCAAAATGAGTGCATGTGTGTATATATAGAATAATCACAGCTCTAAAGCCACAGTTATGAACAGTCATCCATTAGCAATGCTACTATCAACTTTTGGAAATGAGGTTATGGTAACTTCCTTCTAAATGATTGCTGTTTTGGGGCTGTTTCAAAGAAACAAAGGGGTTATGAACAGGAAAAAAAAGGAAATGGATGAAGAGCTTGATAATTCTACAAATAAGTAGCTGTAAAGGTCTGTATTGCTGCTTTTCAAGCCACAGCTTCATTTAGGAGTTAGTAGAGGAAGCAGTAGTCCAAAGCACTCAGCCTGGCTTCAGGCTTCCTTAAGGAAACACAGTAGTGTAGGGACATGAGTACGAGGGAGGCGAATGAAAAAATAGTGACACTTCAGCATTTTTTTCTGCCAAAAGGCCTTAAAAAACTGTAACTGTTCCTGTGCAAGCTCACTGGAATAAGGGAGACTTTGTACTTGCATCTTGATATGACCCATCTGTTCAGCATCAGCCAAACTCTGGTTAAAATGTGCTCAGAAACATAGAATAGTTCCTCAGGATTACTGGTGTCACAACCCAAGCTCTGCTCCTAAGGCAAAAATGTCATTACAAGCAGACTGTGCTGATACCTGAAACATGGCATGTGTGGTTTAACATATGATAGGTCTAACCTAAATTAGTGTAAACCATATCCCAAGACAAGTCCTGACACTATCCTAAGTCCTACTGAGAGACTTCACGTTATTTTCAAATTTTTTCTTGCTTACTAATTAGTCAGTAGCCATACTTTACTTATACTTATAGAATGAGGTTTGGGCACTGTCAATGCCTGAAGTTGCATTGGTCAGGTATGTGGTGTGTCAAAATTTGATGGAAAATGTTTTGTTGCAAGATGCTGCAACCTGGGAGCTCACTTCTAAATTCTGACAGTTGTTTTAAATATTAAGCATAAATGCTAAATTCAAGGTGGTTTTATTGCTATTCCCTGCTTTTCCTATCATGGCATGTGCGACTGTGTGCTTAAATAAACGATGTATATGATAAGTAAAATGCATCTCAGTGTGGACAATAAGATTGTATTAAGTTTTGTTCATATATTTTTTCTGACTTTCTGGCAGGTTACTTATAGCTACAGAAGCAGAAAATGACCTGTGGGTTTCTCACAGAGGACTCTAGAAGCACATTTTGTAGTTTATTCTACCTGTTAATTTAGAAATATTGTACATAATTGCACTTTTTATCTCATTTTGAATACAAAGAATTTATTGTGTTTTCTTGCTATACTGAAGAACATTTGTTTTGCTGTAGTCTTCTACCTTTTTAAAAAGAAAAATGCAGAATTTGTGCAACTAAAAGCTGAACATACTTGCTATCTCATAGCATTGTCTCTTTCCCAGGGAGTGCTGTCCAATATCTCCTCCATCACCGACCTGGGAGGCTTTGATCCAGTTTGGCTCTTCCTGGTGGTAGGAGGAGTTATGTTCATTTTGGGATTTGCAGGATGCATTGGAGCTTTGCGAGAAAACACTTTTCTTCTGAAATTTGTAAGTAGCCTTTGCAACTGAGGCATTCATCAGTTACAGAGCATGTCACAGTCTCTGTTCCTGTTTAACTGTGTAAAGCTTTTAAAATATATTTTTGTGGAGTGGAAGGTGAGAGTACCACAAAAACACTAAACACTTTACAGCTCTTCAGTACAGTCTCTAGTGCTTCCTGGCTGTGTTTTTTTTAAGATTCAAAATTATTGGTGGTAAGAATTGTAACATGGATCTACTGCTTTTCATATGGATATAGCCTAAAGTTTTGCTTTCCTGCCACAAAAAGAGAGACATTTCTGCTGAGAATCTGTGCTGGAGTCCATAATAAGCTGCCCATGAAATATAAGGGATGTAGATACACCCCTGAATGTGACCTGTGTGACTTCTGCTGTGCCCCTCATGGTACAGAGGAGATAGGACTGTTACGAAGGCTTGCTTGCTGGTGTCCTCAGTCTGTACCATGTAGCTAATTTGAAAAAGCTTCATTGCTTGCTTTCAATGCTGGAGAGAGGGAGAGAGAGAGAGAGAGGCAGGAGAATGTGCCTGGGCTGTGTAAAGAAAATGGAAGTTGTCTTCTTGACTGCTGCTTGGGAGATACTGCTGATACACAAACGTACCTCAGTAGGCAGAACTCCTTTAGCTAAGGGGCCTGGTTCTGTTTTTTGAGAGCCCTCCTCTTGTCAGCTTTGAGATACAACAGTATCATGCTCCTCTGTAGATAAATCGAAGATTTATTATAAAAAGGCAAGATTCTTTCCTCCACCACTCCCGCTTCTGGAGGTGGTCACAGCCTGGGTAATAGTTGTCTCTTCATAACCACTGCATGCTAAAATATACATGAAAAGCCCTCCAGTGAAATACCTGCCTCCAAGTGACACTTTTGGCTCCCACAGTCATGTTGTATAAAGGAAGGAGGCAATTGAGAGTTACAGTTCTTGAGACATTTATAAAGCAGCTTGTAACACTTTTTTTTTCCTCTTCTTCCTTGCTTCTCTTAGCTTGCCTAAAATGAACCCATCTGCTGTACCAGAAATAGCTTCCCATACAGCAGCTGCAGGAGAAATTAAAAATGCATCTGAACACACACAGAGCATATTAAAATGAAACTCAAAGGCACAGTTGCAAAAGGGATGGACTTCAGTATAGCAGGACCCCTGCGTGTTTTAAAACAGTGTAGACTCAGTGCAAATGCTTAGAGAAAGTGGCAGATCATTAGTAATGCCTTTGGCATCCATTGCATTTGCATTAATCATAGCAGCCTCATTTGGTTTTAATGTGGATGTGAGTCATTTCATAGACATTCTGCTCTTAGACATTAATTAATTTCCGCTGTTATTAATTTTTGCTTTGTCTGCTTAAGCAAAGCTATGCCAGTGAGACTATCTAAAGAAAAAGTCATGTACAGGGCATTTTACTGACAGTATTTGTTGTTTATGCCTTTGAAAATATAAATACTTACATGGAATTTTAAGATGGGTTTTCAAGGGCCCTACAGGTGGCAACTAGCCATCTCTTGAAATTTGTAGTGAATTCTCTTGGCTCTCTTTGAAAATTCCAGTGAAATGTGAGAAGTTTGAATTCAATTGTTAGAATAGAATTAAGATTTCTATACTACGGCCCTAAAAAAATGCAGTTTTAATTTAAAATTTCCTGTGTGCTCGAATGGCTTAAACTTGCACTGAAACAGTTAAAACCTTATCACTGGATATAATTGTGAGCCTTGAAGAAGGTTTTGGCCATAATGGAAAATTATTGTAACCTTTTTTTTTTCCATTTTGTTCATAGTTTTCTGTATTTCTTGGAATTATTTTCTTCTTGGAGCTTACTGCTGGTGTTCTAGCATTTGTTTTCAAAGACTGGATAAAGGACCAGCTGTATTTCTTTATAAACAACAACATCAGGGCATACCGAGATGACATTGATTTGCAAAACCTCATAGACTTCACACAGGAATATGTAAGTTGGACTATGTTTATTTTTGTAAAGCTTACTTTAAAGAAATACCTACTCTATTTTTTACTTCCTATCTGTTTTGTTTCTTCAAGGAACAACAGAAATAAACTAGGTTATAATACTTTTGAATATGTATATTTCTCTTTATAGAACTACTACAAACACACAGCACCTGTGAAAAGTGGCTTATTTGTTGATGTATGACAAAGTAAAACAAAGTGGAGAGTTGGGGTGACTTATTCTTGAAGAGTAAAATGTACAAGTTAACCATCAGTGTCTTGTGTTCAGATTTTTTGAGCATGTTCCATATGCTCTGTAATTATCTGTCTGTGTAAAGGAGTCCTGCACTGACTTTTGCACACGGTTATTCTGCAAGTACCTACTCAATTCTGGCCTGTGTTGATTAACTCCTCTGAATTTGGCCCCCTATGGATAATGTGATTAAGTGTTGGTTGGATTAATGTTTACTAATTTTTGTGCATTCTACAATTTAAATAGTTTGATTTGCTTCTATATGCCTTGGGAGGAAAATGGCACGTAAGTAACAGGATGTGGATCCTTGCACTGGTTTGAATCTTGTCCAGTTGAGAGAAAGTCACAGGTCACTACAGTCTGAAAGCAGTGGTCTACTTGTATGTGAGCAGAAGGCTACAGGCCAATTTTTCAGTCACTCTGAAGCTTTCTCTCCTAACTGGATTAGTCTGAAGAGCAGGCTACTTTTTCAGCTGGTAGAGATAATGCTTGGAGACGACACAATTAGGTATTGCAGAGAGAACGGTGGTACATCTGTGTCCTGGTTCCAGCCAGGACAGCGTTATCTTCTGCAGCAGCCAGGAAGGACACACGAGGACCCTGGAGTTATTCTCTATTTCCTCACATCATGCAGAGAGGATGGAGGAGGTGGGGGAGGTACCCTTGGTTCCAGTGCTGGTTCAGGCTGGGGTTGCGGTGTGTGCGTTGGGGCAGCGCAGGGTGAGCAATACACTGTCTTGTACACTCTGTTATCAATACAGTTGCTACTGTACTGTTCATTTTCTTACTTCATTGCTGTTTCTTAGTAAATTGTTCTTGACTCAACCCTTGATCTTTACCTTTTGTGCCTTCCCTCCATCCCACTGCAGGGGAAGGGTGTGGGAGTGTGAGAGTGGCACAAGGTCTGAGGGGTTTCAGTGGAAACACTAAATCAGGGGATACCAATCCTTAAACCATGATAATCTAGAAAGAGAATTCCTCTTCCAGTGGTTTTTAAAATGTGGTTTGTTTGTGAGGTTTGCTTTTTTAAAAAAGTTGATGTGGATGGGTTCATTGGATAGCTCCTTAAATGCTTTAAACCATTGGTGCTCCACTGATCTCCAGTCCATTCTTTGTATGTTCAGCAAGTTTTGCCAATTCTTTGTGTGTGTAACATGTTTTGCCAGAGACAGCCTGCCTTTTGGGAAACTTACTCTTCAAAGAATTCTGCCTGCCTTCAGTAAAGGTGTTACTTGTACAACGTGTGATGCTCAGGAAACAATGTGTTCATACTGTCTGATATACAGTCAGGCAAAGGTTCCCCAAACTGGCAAAAGGAGTAGCTGTATCATTGTAGCCCTTGGAGCTGGTTAGTCTTGTTGAGAACCCAGAGCACATTAGACTGGACTTTTGGCTCTGCTGCCCCAGGGCCTGAGCCTGTAGGGCCTGAGCAACTCTGTGGTGTTGTGTAGGCTCAGCAGCTCACGCCAGGAGTTTCTCTCCAGAGAGCAGCATAGCAGGGCATGAATGTAACTTTAATCACATGATAAATTAGAACAGCTTACAGGTTTGGAATGGTATTTTTAAAAAAACCCCAACACCAAGTCAAACAAAAAACACCAGCTTCAATGAATGCAGTGGGAGTCTCAGATTGTGTTTTGAAAGCCAGAGGGGAACTGGCAGAAATGATGCATGTTGCTAATGCTGAGATTTTTGTTCTGAAAGTCAAGAAGCTCTCTTTTCTCTGTTCTAGTGGCAGTGCTGTGGGGCTTTTGGAGCTGATGACTGGAACCTTAATATTTACTTCAATTGCACAGATTCCAATGCAAGCCGAGAGCGCTGTGGTGTGCCATTCTCTTGCTGTACTAAAGACCCTGCTGTAAGTACAGTCAAGAGGGAAGGATGGGTCTGCTGTTCCAACTGTAAATCACTCATTAAGGGTTTACATTTTTTGGGTGTAAATCACACATAATCATTACCATCTCACCAACCCGTATTCTTTTTGTGCTTGCAGCTTAACTTAACCACTAACTTTTCTTCAGTCAGCAAAAATCCTAAGCTACCTGAAGTCTTCACTGTATGTTGTTGCTTTTCATTAAAATGAGAGAAACATGGGTTGGCTGAACATATGTATTAATTTAGCAGTATGAAAAGCAGAAGCTCTTAATGAGTTGAAGGATATGAGCTTTCAATTGAAAATCATGAGAGCAGCAACTCCTAAGAGCAGGCTCCAGAGGAGGTGGTATTCATTATTTAACATAGTGTCCTGAGGCTGCAGTCAGTTTGACCCAGTTTGTGTCAGGTACAGTAATGAGTGACACTCTGTGCCCTGAAGAACTGACATGTTTGCATTGGGATTGTGAGTTGGGTGTGGACATTTTTACATGCTTTTTTTTTCCCTTTAAAATCATCACCTGTCCTACAGTCACCTGAAACAAGACTTGAAAGGTCAGAAATTGTTTGAGAGAGCAGGTTTGTGGTAAACATTCTTGTCTTTTAAAATAGTTATAGTTCTGGATCACCAAGCAGAAAATGCTGGAGCCATACATTGCTAGTATAAACATGATTAGGAGTGAAGGGAAGCAGGTCACTAATTGTGAAAGGCTTGGAATAGGGATGTGCATGGAAACTGTTACGTGTCTAACACTGCATACATCTGACTTTCATATAGCTTGAAAGAAGCACCCTTGAGTGCTTATATTATCTAGTAATTGAGCTGTGTCTTTTTCTCCACCTGGAATGACTTATAGTTCCTTGAATGCATGAGTCTATCACTGCCTGAAGTTAGGCAAGTTGCCAACAGGCACCTCAGGTGCTCCCTGCCTTGCTAATGCAATGCAGTCCCTGCTCCTGCAATCCAGTCCTTGCTGCTGCTCTCCCCCTCTCCTGATAAGGCACTGCCACTTACACAAGTTCTATTCTGCAGTGGATATGCCTTCACAGTAGTTTGAATCTTTCTCACAAACATAGCTGAAAATGTTTTAATGAGATACTAAACCAAAATGTAAGTAAGGCTCAAGCATTAAATTATGCTTAGGATTCCCTCTACTGTTTGACTGTCTGCCCAGCCACCCACACAAGAGAGGTCATCACAACCCACTTTTAAAAAGATAGTGGTTATAAAACCAAACCAGTGACAGCAGTACAAGGTAATCCTATAAATACATAATCCATCCTAAAGTTCTCTTTCTCTTTGTTGTGTATATGGTTATGCAGTTTGTTAGGGGGTGATGCAGCAACCAGAAATGTAAGGATAAGTCTCATTCTTACTCATTGCACGCAAGCAACACACTTAATTGCCTTTAAAATAGAGACTGAAAATATTAGAAGTCATGCATATAATTATAATAATTGTAACCAAGCTGTGACTGGTTCAGTTACAGTGATAAACACAGTTTTATTCTGTGGGAAAGAAAATTTGTCACTTTTGGAATTAGGATGCATTGAACAGCTTTATTTCAGTTCAGCTTGAATCGGGAAGTAGTGAGTTTAAGTTAGGCTAAAATGAGTCTCATGAAACAAATT